GGCGCACATTCTGCCACAGCCTCATGTTCAAGTAAATTTCCGGAACAGTAGTATTTTTCCGGGCAAAAGACATCATCATATGCAGTTTACGATATTTCGACTTTATCGATTACTTGAAGTCGCCTGTTCTCCTGACGTGACGCATGTCGCATGCTGAGCCTTTGTTGCCAGCACTGCCTTTTTTGTTCGAATGAGAAACAACGATATACCACTGAGTTTGAATGATATTTCGTTGCAACTTTCTGATCACAGATTGCACCATGTCAAATTCTACGATATCCCATCCATGCTTACATGGAAAGCAGTTTACCGGAATAGTGATCCTATTCCCAACGATACCTCCATCTGCCTTCTACGATATTCCGATGGTGTACTTTGAAGTCGCCTGTTCTCCTGATTAAATGTTCATCTCGTTGCAACTTTCTGATCTACGGTTGCTTACTATTATGATATTAAAATAAACAAATAAAATCTACGAACGAGTGATTGTAACGTGTTGGAAAAAATGCGAGAAGCTCAGCTGAGCAGGCGCAAGTACAGGCGGCTATGTGCGCAGCACGTAACTTGCACACACTTAATTTTTTAAATGCCCATTAAACAATTTTCATAGGGCTCAAATAGAGACAAAGGCAGCCTGTATTCCCATCTACTTTCGGTAACATAATTTGGAATGAGTTCGACGAATGAAAATGTTATCGCGGTGATGCGAAAGTCTCTGAATCAATCATGACAGATACGCCAGGCCGCCTACACGTGGTTTTAACAAAACCTGCAACAACAAACAGTAGCTGTCACCATCCCAAGCACTTGAGGGTAAAAGTTTACTGTGCAAAAGTTCGCAAGCAAACGCATCCTAAGCAACTTCCGTTCAGTCACTACGCATTCGCTTTACGGTTGGTCCAGTAGTAGTCAAGTGAATGAACAAGTATGTAAAACCCGAAGGAAAGCAGCGCACGCAAAACGTAGTGATTGGGCTAAATGAGTAAACAGACGCAAACGTGTGCATATTCGAAAAGACAGCTAATGTATAACAGTTAGGCCAAGCTAAGGTCAACAGGTCAATTAGAGGCGCCACCATTTTGCCTTCGGCATTCACTCGGGCAGGGCAGAATTGGTCGGCAATCCTCGAACAGAAGTAATTCGCCATATTCTAGGTATGAGTGCAACTCTTTCGGTAGTAAACACTGTCGAAGCATTTCCAAGCAAAATGTGGAGCGCAGAACTTTCCTACATATGGCAGACAAACGCTGAACAGACATAGGCGCTGAACGTATCTCTAATGTTCCGCGATGTGAGCTGAGGATGGAAGATAGGAGGAGTTACGTTATGCAGAAGTTAGAGCATTATCAAGTTTACCAAACGGCAATGGAGGTTCCATTCTTGAAGTAGCAAACTGAAGTGGCATTGCGCATCGGTACGATCTTGCAAGGAAACTGAGGCGACGATATATTCCATATGCGCATATTGCTGGAAAGAAAGGTTGTTCCAACGCTGAAGCGCGTAAAACATGCTCATACTTATCCGAGCAGATAGTAACAATATGTTCGCCGTCCGATGAGAATGATAAGCCATTTACTCTGTGGCGGTTGGTGGCACAGTGGTAGCTTGTTAATGGCACTGGGAGCTCATGACTAACAAAGCAGCGAAAGAGTTATGCATGTTAAGGCAAAAACAGACAAGTTCTTAGCTTACCGAAGGGTTACCAATGGACAACCCTTAATGTGGTCAAAAACTATGGCCGTACTATCGGAAGAACAAGAAACAAGCAAAGCTGAGTCAGGAGAGAACTCACAGTCAACAATACAATTCCTATGCATTTTTGTACGACGGTGAATAGACCAACAGCGCGTACGCCAAACTATTAACTGAAAATATTCAAGCGTAGCCAATAAACAAACAGAAACATCCTTTACCCTACGATCAGTGCCTCCACTGGCTGCCCAGAGGCCATTGGATGACCAGGCGCAACAAACAACGTATTCACCGGTCATGTGACCCTTTAAAATCAAGCTTTAGAAGCTCGAAACAAATCCGCATAACTTACTTTTAAGGTACGAAACATATTGCCGCCATCATAAAGGTCCCAGAGTTTTAACGTTGAATCCCTCGAACAGGATAGCAACATGGAATGCCACAGTGAGTAACGTGGCGAAAAAGTTAAGTCTTCAACGGCACCCCGATGGTCCAACAGGTCGATTAGAAATTTCCCTAAGGAACAAAATTGAAACTCGGCTTCCATTTGGAGTCAACTGGCCAACCTGTTACGGCCGAATATATCCGTATGGCCCCACATTCTAAGCCAACGGCCAAAAGTACTGCGTTCGTGTGATCCTTTAGGCGAACGCCGCGACCAAAGCCTAGAGGTGACGTAACCTGGTTTAAGGAGACGTTCCCAAAGCAAAGAGCCGTAACTCGACTACGACAGTAGATTTTACGCAGCCAGTACTGGCTATGTTGGTCACTCGACGGATATACAGTATCAAAGGGGAGAACGATCGGGTGAACCTTAGAGCGCTCCGAGACGGCGCCGTTTTCATCAAGACTTTTACCAATGTACAAAAGGAGCACATCTGCCTCGGATGACCAAGCCAAAAAGGAATCGTCCGACGAGACTGCAACAACGCGCCTGTCACAGCTCCTGATATAACCACAACAGCTCACGCTTCCTTGGTGTGTAACTAATCTATCGTAAATCGAAAATACGCTTCTCCGTAGATTCGCTGAAAACACTGACAGATGAAAAATTTGGACCGCCAAACCAAAGGAGGTGTTTTGTCGGTCGATAAGCGTTTTCAAAGTAATCTGCTTTCTTATTGGTCCTTTTAACAATAACAAACATTGAACCGCCTAATTGATTTTATTTGCACTGACATAGCATGAGCAAATAACTGTCAAAAAGACAGGCAAAAAATAAACATTTAAGAGATAATCATTTCAAATATTGACAACAAATTCAATGCGTATACTCGATGGAGGGGTGAAAGGTTTCCAAAAAAGGTCAACAACAGAGATCTCACCTTCAAATTCCGTAGCCGTCTCAGTCATCAGTCGAGAGTACGAGATAGCAGGATTCTTTGGAGGTATTGAAGTTTTAACCGTAGAACTGAGAGCAAATATTCTGCCACAACAAATTGGTAATTGAGCAGAAAGTTGACGAAGCGTCGCCGACAAATAGAACAATCTAAACAGGAACGAAAAGACTGGCAAACGCTTGTCGTTACAACCGCGTTTATGATAAGAGAACACGCAAACAGACGGCTGTCGCTACTTCCACCCACGCATTACGACAACAATTATTGATTATTTATACTGTTGCTTTCAAAACTGGGATAAGTTGTTTTCAGGGATGCTTGAGTGGGTACGGCCGACCCAGTCCGCAGAAACTTTTTTCACTTAGCAAAGTTGCTGGATAGGCAGCGCTAGAATGAGAAGTGCAAAGTGATGCAATGGTAACTTTTTACTTGAAGATAAGTTGTTTTCTCAAAACGGCTCGATTTCGCCGACATTTGTCAGAGCGGCGCCATCCAGCTGCAAACTGGGATAGTATTAGTACAATTCGGCGCAAGAAACATCTTTCCCGTTCTTAGACCACAGCGTTTATAATTAAAGCATAAGTGCACAAAGAATGGATAGTTGCCAGTAGAAGCGAAGACGTTCAATATATAAAAATAACAAAGCATTAACTGGCAGGCTAACTATTTATCCGGTTGTGAAAGTTCGCCCAAAAGGTTCAGGACCGCACTGCACCTGAGCATAATATATACGAACCTGAGGATCTTTTATTGTCGAGGAGGTTGAAGTTGTTATTTTCTGTCATTACGGGAGAGGGATCGCCAGTTTTCTTGTAGCGGAGTAAGTGCGTTCATGCAAGTCGTCACATTCTACGAAACACACTAAGCATAAGAGAATGGCGGTTGAGGCGGAGCGTTCGGATAACTTCTACGTGATACACGATGTAAGAGAAAAAATTGCAAATAAACAAGGGATATGAACGGCGTAACCGGCCAGTGTTCAATTACAATTAAACGCTGCAACTGACATCATATTTTATATTTGGTAAAGCGTCCTGAAAGTTTTGTTGACTTTTCGGCACCCAAACTTCGGTCGACTCTTTTGCCTAGTTAACATGGAATTGTGTCTGTCTTGCATATCATTTTCTAAGTACTACAGCGGTTTTTCGTTTGGAGCTTATCTTTTAACTCTGCATTTTCTATTGCGTTTGTTGTTGGCTTTTAATGTAGAAATGGACAAGACTGTTCACTGCTAGGCTGCCAACTCCTGAAAGCTCTGTGACTCGTTCCTCGTTGTCGAGTAAACTTTTCAAGGTTTGGTACTGGCGGTTTAAAGAATACTTTGCAAGGCTTATGCCGTGCACATGCCAGTTAATCGAAGAATCGTGCTTTTCTTTTTAAACGAAGAACGCGAGGAGGAGTTGCACCAGCAATCTTTCGCTGAAAGTTGTCCAGGAGCTTCTACAGTGGGGACTTTGACGTGAACAATCGATTAGAGTTATGTCTCTTCAAGGAAACTAAAGATGGATATTTGTAGCATTGCTCGAAGTAACTCGACTAATGGAAATGCAAGAGCTTGTGCGAGCACTTGATGCACACAAAGCGGCTGTAAACTGCAATGGGAAACATTCACAAGTGGGACAAATGGCTGCCGCTCCGATAGTCTGAATGTATCATGCTAAATGACGTCATCCGCATACTTTCCTTGCTGCCCCAAGAAAAGGGGAAGAACGTCTTATTATGGATTGTTATCAGTGATGAAAACTGGATCTGAAGACAGGAGAAAAATAAAAGAGCAGGGTTAAACCAAGCACATGGAAACTCATCTTTCCAAAAAGCAAACATTCTTGGAAGGACGTACTGTATAGCATTGAGTTGAACAATAGACGATTAATTCTCGTCCATGCATTGTTACTTAGTTTTAAGGCTAAAACTGAGACACACTACGCCACTACGTTTCGTCAATTGAGCGGTACGTTTAGTAAAACTTGACGGAGGTGGGATTCGAACCCACGCCTACCGGAGTAGAATGCGGCCTTAACGCATCGCCTTAGACCACTCGGCCACTCCGCCTCCATTGCAATGTTATTAGAACCTTAGGAAAACATAGCGAAGCTGGATTCCAGCTATTAAGAAGCTTCAGGTTTGTTCTATGAGCAACTGGTAACGAGTGAATGAAGTATCATTCATTGGAGAGCAAGTTTCATTCCAACCTCCACCAACACCGTTCTTGCTTTGTCATTTTCATATTCATCGATATACAGCTTTTCATGCTGCCGTAAGACGAGCAGTTACATGTTCGAATGTTCCACAGATAGGCAAGAACTCCAAAACTAGGTTTGCAGTGAGCTATTGTTCAAGTAAGTGCGTTTGACGCATTACGCTTTCCCCGATGTAAATGCAAGCTCAGATGGAAGTGACTACGTTGAGATAGAATAAAGTTAGTAGCGTTCTGTACTTTGTCCTAATAATCGCTCACCCACTCGTTGGAGGAGCAGCTATTTTGGTTTAATTACAGAAACCCACTATAAGACCTTCTAATATTTTGAAATCATTCTTTATATGACAGAGTATATCCCTGTCGATGACATGTACCGCTGATCTTATCTCAATGAGCAGTGCCGTCGACATGAACGTATACACCGTCTTCAGGGTTCGTATAAGTGAGCAAGCATATACAAAAGTTCGACTAAGCTCGCATATACGGGAGCTGATAACATTGTCCTTTGCGTCAGGAAACTCCGAACAATAGAACCCTACCCTGGACACAATTAGAGAGAATACTATACCAACTGCGATGCGTTGCGCTATGCAGAGGTATGATGTTCTGAAACTGATTTATTCCACCGATTATCTGAAGAAAGATGACAGTTCAATCAATTTTTGCTCAGTTGATGTTTCAGCACGGGAGTCGCAGTGAGATCATATGAATATTGCTCATATCATGAACCTGGTTATCATACTGAGCCCGGTTGCTCTTCCGATAGAATAAATCATAGCTGAGCTATTCATTTAAGCTACTTGTTCGATTATTCGATTACGCGAATGTTACTAAACTGAAAGACTAACGCTTGCTAGCTAAGTCTGAAGAAGCAACGTTCTGAAGAGAACTTATGGTTTGAGTTCTAAGTTCTGCCAACTGTAGTAGAAGTATTAATACAAGGCCCTATAAAATAGTGCCATTTGCGAGCAAGTAGAAGTAAAAGCAAGTATTGATTTTCATATCCATAGAGTATTGCAAGCATTTCTTGATGCAGGCTTGAATTTCACTGCCTGTATGATTCCTTGTGCGGGCCTACAGTAGTACGTTTGATCCGCACGCTGGAAGGGGTTACCTGCAGATCCGTAACGACACGTCGTTTGTCATACGAGAAGCCAGTGCTTGATGGATGTTCAGAAAATGGTAAACTTATTTTTTTGATAAGATATTGGTTTTTATTTTTAAAGAAAAATTTATTTAACTCTTCGCAGTGTATGTTATAAGTTGAAGCGTGTGCAAGTTCAAAGATTTACTTTGTCGCAAGCTAATTACAATTCGATGTCCAAATGGTCGCATACATTTGATACTGAAAAAGCTCATAATGTCTCCGCAGTCTTTGCTGCTCTTTCATCAGCGCTGATACTTTCTCTGGTTCCTATTCCGATCGGTTTTTCCGTGAGCTTCTCTATGTTCACTGTTTTACATGTCCCAGCTCTCCTACGTTATATAACAACAATCCAACCTATTCATTTTCTTGGCATAGCTCGTTACAGATTCCACGCTGTTATTTTTTGAAAATAAAAGATGATAGAAAAGATGTTTTCGTTACAAGATTTTCAGATTTTCAGTTGCACCATTGCCCAGTGCTATGTTATCTTATTTAATCAGTTGCAATTTATGGTTTTGAATGCGGAGCTTTTGGTAACGGGGCGTATTTTTTCACATTGACATATAGTTGCAGATACCCGTTTGTTGAACAATTTATTGAAAGAAAACTTGAGTAAATTGCCCAGGAAACGGGGCATGTGTAGCTGTTTATCAACATTGCAGTTTATCCTCATATTCACCTAACGTTATGTACAATTACGCTATTTCCTCTTCCACCGCCCTCTTACGCTTAATTGTTAATGCACTAGTTTATTTCTCCTTATTTTTGTCTTCCAAACATTGTCAATGCCCTTTGCAGCTCGTCAACCTTCTCCACCATTATATTTTGTGTTAATTCATTTTATTTTACTTCCAGTAGTCTTGATATATGAGCATATCGCTTCGCAGCTAAAACGCCATAGCTATGGCTTAAAGAGTCAACACTGTTCAAACGGGTCTTGCTGCTTATGCGTCCCACCGCCCGAGAAATGCAGGTTCCTTTCTGTTAAGCATGCGATCATCCTGGTCTGCCTTTACTGGCGAGCATGCTACCTATCCTATTCTGCCGTTACCTGAGACTAAGTTAAAATATAGGCCTTATACTTAGGCTTAGGCATGGGGAAGGGCAGAACAGGATGGCCAGCAAAGTTACAGTATGGCGGCGGGGCGCACAACCGACAAGACCAATTCAAACTGCCAATGACCACCAGCATTCCTCAATACCAGTTATCAAGACACTGACAATGGAATCAGCTGCATTTCGAAAGCTCCGTCATTCTTGACAATAAATGAAGCGGATCAAACGTCACCTAACGAACTTGAACCCATTCCTCCTCATTCAAATATCGCTTCAGTTCTTCTTTGAGTTTACTAGCTCTAGTTCCGTGCGCAATTAAGTGTGCTCTTAAAACTGAAGTTCTCGAATACCACGTCACTTGGCGAATTTTTCAAGCTAACCAGAGCTGGCTTTGAATCTTAGGTCTCCATTCAGCTTTGAATAAAGGTCCAACGCTTTTTCGCACAATAAGCCATTTTTGGATACCTTTCTCAATTTACATATAATCTTGCGCTCTGGGTTCATCCCCATCTTTTTCAGCCTGTTGCGAAGAAAAATTTATTATGCAGACCACACCCCTTTTCCTGGGTTACGCGGATAGTAACGAATCCCAACATATACTATGGGCTTACCTGTTCCTATGCGCCTATAGGAAAGTCTAATTTATAGATATGGTGCGCTACGAGATAAGCAATGTAGGAAGCCCTATATTCAAGTAATAAAACAGAATAATTATAAAAACACTCTGTAATAAAAGCTACGGGACATGGCGCAGTGTCCACGCGATGACGAGTCCAGTTGAAGTGAATAACGCGGGCACTGTGATGTGGAGCTTTCGCACGCATGCATACGCCGAAGGCAGAATGCGTAAATTATGAAAATACTTAAAAATTAGAGAAGCACGACGAGCGACTTCGTTTTCATTGATGAACTGTTACTTGAGCTTTCGTTCATTAGTTACTCTCACTGTTCACTGTCAGCAGTAACAACCGTTATTGTGCAGGAGAGCGCGCTCGATTTCATCTTATTACCCAGAATGGCTTACAATTCAAACCCTACGACTTGTTCATTCCCAGAAATTTTCGTTTGCATTTTCGGCTTGCTTTCAACCGCGGATACGATGGGCAACCTGATGTCGCATAATGTTACGCCCCAACTCCATATTTTTCGCCCAAAGCCGTTATTACCTGTGACCTTTGTTTTAATGAAAATGCCACACGATTTTTCTTCATTGACATATTTACCGACAGAAACGTTACCGCACCTCCACCACATTTAATATATTAGGTAGAACGGGGCACGAATAGATCGGGGCAGACAAAGTTTTAAAAAAATGATGTAAGTGGCGAATATCTTTTGCTTAGATCAGCTTTGCAGTATTAACAGAAACAGCAGGAGTTAATTTCCGAAATCAGTGCAGAAAATGGTATCAATGGAAGTTTGAAATCCAGAAAGTACGACCATTCGATTAAGAGGGTTTAGAAGATAAATGGCCGCCAAATGGGATTTTACAAGTTCGAGTCTAAAGTAGGGTTCCAGAAATAAAAGGATGAGAGTAAAGTAAAGGATTCCATAATGCGCCTAACAGTAGAGGATAGCGAACGTGTTAAAAGGTAAATCAAGCTAGCACGTGTACATGAATTGATAACAAAGGGGAACATTTGAAAAAAAAAGAAAAGTGTCGCGAAAGAAGGGACCTACACTCGTTGCAAAAGTCGCTGCGTAGTGATTCGAAAGCGAAGGCCCAAGTTTTTAAGATTTCAAATATTTAACAAGCCAATTCGGACAGTCGAGTTTCTACCATGCAATGGCCTATTTCAAAATTATTTTACAGGATCGTTTGTCGACCTGAAAATTGCCGTGATCGCTTGAAAGGTTTCATTGTTATTCTTTAACGTTATACACCACTAAGAGGTATTTGAACTTTGATGACGGATCGAAGAATACGGCGGTCCAACGTTTCGGAACAAATTTTGCATATGAATGTATTTGCTGTCAGAAAGAGAACAACAGCGTGAGGACTATGTAACTCTTAGAATGAAGTTTGTTCCATCCTCGTAAGCGAGATGTGGCGACTCATAGTTGCTGCGAGATTTATTTGCGGCTGATAATTTATAGTGAGCTACCATGCACATCTTTTCTTTTGTAAGATTATTGATATTGATGTTTGTAGTAGGATCTGTTAATTATTTTGTAATTTTTAATTTTTAAGAAATATTCAAAGTTACATAATATTGGTTTCCTCAGCCGTTTGAAAAATGTTCGCGAAGTGGATGTCGCTTTCATACACGCTTAAAGCGTATGCCTTTTAGTACTCGATAGTTAGAGAGGATGGCGCTGACTTGCTGCACAAGCTGAACTGGTTGTGCCCAGAACAAGGAGGTTAGAACAACAGGATAGTTCAGCACTCTGCTTGATGCGCATGAGTATAAATAGAGTTAGGTTTAAAATTAGTCGTGACATCAGTTTTTATGGTCTTAACCCGGCTGACTGTTCTAACGTACGCTTTGAATGATTTTGGAAAATATAGGTAAAGCATGACCGTAGGTGAGAATAATACTACAACGCTGGCTTGTGAAAAATGCTTACAAGTGTTCCATTTCGGCGTGAGAATACAATTGCTTATTCTTTCCTTATTCACGTCGTCTTATCTTGCTAATAGAAGCTTTG